GTTTACTAAGCATGAATAATAATGTGCAAAATTTGTAATTTTCATGGGAAATGAGAACCTGTATATACTCTCTAGATTTCCCTCCTCACTATTAGACCTACTGTAGAATACAAGAGCATATTCTTTATTTATTGGGGAGAGAGCTCTATGAGTTGTATAAAAATGAGAAGGGTTATAAAGATAAAACATTCTGGTAAAAATACAATAGGACAAAATATAAATCTCAAAAAACTATCACTCAGATTGTTAGAAAGTGTTGTGGTATGGGTTACTTCATAAAATACTGTGTAACAGAAACATATCAAGAAACTAATAATACATGAAAGTGAGAGGTACGTAAGAATGTGTTTAACACACACTCACACACTATTACAGTGGACCCCCGGTTTTCGGCCGGTGCGGAAATCACACAATTCAGATTTCAAGCACTTTTTTCAGCGAAATTTCCCCCTGGGTTTCATACATCCGCTTGGAAATTGTTGGTACCAGACATGTCTGCCTGGGCCGCTCATGCTTTCGTGACTCACTCTGGGCACATTAAATGTCTTATTTTACATTAATATAGACATTTTTATTAATCCATATATGATATATTCTTCAAAATTATGTAAGAAACACATTACATAAGCAAATGCTGACTGTGGCTTGATGAACCCACCACTAGCCCCTCACCAGCATCAAGGAACCTTGACACTGGTCAAGGAACCTTGACACTGGTCAAGGAACCTTGATGCTAGTGAGGGGCTCTTGATATAGGGAATTGAATCTGTGCTCTAGTTCCCTAAATTAATAATAATAATAATACATAATAATAATAATAATAATAATAATAATAATAAATAATAATAATAATAATAATATAATATTATTATTATTATTATTATTATTATTATTATTATTATTATTATTTTTTATTATTATTATTATTATTATTATTATTATTATTATAATAACAAATGCCGCCAACTCAGTGCACAGTTTACCTCACTGTGGGAGCAGTTCTCTCATGCTTTACTTAAATTTTTGACAGTCATTTGGCCAAATTTCATTTTTCTAAGCAAGGGTCCTTAGAAAGTACGTAAGTGTAAAGGATAGTGCTGAGAAGAAAAAGAGGATGATTTCCATGGAATTAAAGCATGAAATCATAGATAAACAAGCAAGGTGTCCAGGTTTTTGGTTGAGGGGAAGCAGGGCAGAGCAAAAAATCGACCGAGCAACGGCTCGTATCTCAAAAAACTCGTACGTTGGGACACTCGTAAGTCAAGGTTCCACTGTACTACTCACCAACAAGAGTCTTCAGTAAAGGTATGTAATGTTCATTTATCATTAAAATTAACCATTTATATTTATTTCTCATTTTTTCTGTATGTAAAACTATAGTTATTCTCTATAAAATGTATTTTTTGCTAATATTTTTGGGTGTCTGAAATGGATTAATTGGATTTACATTATTTCTTATGGGAAATATTACTTCGGTTTTTGGCCATTTTGGATTTTGGCCAACTTTCTGGAACGGATTTATTACGAAAACCGGGGGTCTACTGTATTACATAGGATATTGTTAACCTTTACTAGTGAGTGATGCAGAGTCGTCCATACATTTTTAAGTAATAGCAAGCAAAAACAAAAATAATTAAAATTATGTCAGTAATCACTATTGGATAAAAAGCAAAAATATGGAAAACTTGTAAAGCCTGCTCTCTAACAGTAATTTTTAATTCTTGTTATGATGGTACAAAAATATTTACAGAGCAATTTAAATTTTTTCTTGACCATTTTATTTGTCAGTTATTTCTATATGACAATACTTGGGATACAGAGAGGGCATATTGCTAATATTCTTTTACCAGGCCAGAGCCTAAATGGAGTTATATAAACTAATTGGGATATGCTAAGTTAAATTTATTAATTAGACATTTATTGCTGAAAGAATATAAACAAATGGTCAAACAGATTACTCAGTGTAATGGTTAGTTTTATATGCATCTTTATATTAATGAAGCAAATCAAGTGAAAATGTACAAAGCACCTCAAACAATTGGAAATGAAAAACATTGTAATATCCATTTTTTTAATCGGGGAGAAGAGCTAAACCCACAGAGGTCATATAGTGCCAGGGGAATGGGAGACATTATTCAAGTTAGATCCAAGGAAGAGGAGGATAAGTCTGGTTCCTTTGATCAAGAGCCCTTTACCATCATTAATGCACTTCCCTTGAAGGGTGTACTGTCTAAATAGGTCAAGACAAGAAGGTACTTCTTGATGTTGGCAAGAAGGCAGTAGGATCCCATGAGATAGCACCTTGGGTCCTAGAGGAGAGGAATGTGTAAATAAATTAAGTTTCCCTTCATAGAAAATCTTTATGATCTTATTGCATGAGGATAAACTGGCAGACAAATAGGAAATGGCACATATTTTGTCAATATTTAAAAAAAAAGGCAACAAGGAGGATTCCCTTAATTATAGGCCTTTCTTTTTGATAAGTATTATTGTGAAATTACTGAAAAAAGTCATTAGAGAAAAATGAAAAAAAAAAAATTGGAGAGCAAAGAAATACTAGCAAGCAGTTCAGTTTTTGATCAGTAAATTCCCATACATCAAATTAAACTACTGTTATAGTCACAAATTATTCGAGAGCCAAATGGATGGGAAGATTGCATTTGTTTAAACTCTAAAAACTCTTTCAAATGAGTCCTTTACAAAAGACTAGTCTGGAAACTATAAGACACAGGAGGCATTCAAGGGAAACTATTACAATGGATGAGAAATTTCCTATTTCAGAGGAAATTGGACCAGTGATGTGGGGTAAAAATGACCTCTTAGGAAAATGTCATTAATGGGGGTAACAAAGGCCAGTACTTCTTCGTTTTCTTTGTTTGTTTGGATGAAACTGGTTTATTACATCGATGTTGACCCTCCCTTTTGCAGATACTGTTATCTTCACTTTCACTTGTGTTACTCAAACCATTTGGTGTTGAGTGATGTTTTATAAACATAATGATTCTAAACACATAATCATCTAATAATTTTTAAGGGAAAGTAAGTGCCACATTTATAATTACACATTGTTTTCTCATGTTAGCAATATTAATTTAAAATTTCATTAGCAGTTTAATTTTTTCATGGAGAAATGACTCTTGTTGGGAATTAACCAGGTGATGCATGATGCAGTAAAAGTTTTAAGAAACTTCCTATGAATTATAATGACTATTTAGATTAACTTTTAACAACTTGGAGGCATATGCTGAGTTAACCATCAAGGACTGGCTGGACCCTGAATTATCACCTCTCAAAATGAGTTGTTATTCTTCACAAGGAATGTCCAAAAGTTCTTTCTCTTATACACAAAGTGCAACAGTGTCTTGCCACGTTCTCTCACTCTTTCTTAAACCAATGTTTTTTAAAGTAAGACCAGTCACACCTGATTCCATTGCTAGCAGAATCAGTATATTATCTCCAACATACACAGTTGGTGAGATGGTAAATTTTTTTTTAGGATATTTACAGACCAAAATTAGTATATGCAGCAGTAGTTTGGTATCTGCATAAATATGTAGATAGATATGCTACAGAGATAGCCTCTATTAAAAGCAAAAACATTAAGTGGTACAAGAAATGACTTAAAACACTGGACATTGAAAAAGCCTATGTTGGCTGTTAGGAAAAGAGGAGACAAAAACCATTAGAATGTATGAAAAAAGATTACATAGAAAATATTTCAGCACCATCATAATTTTTAACTAGAGAAAATGTGATGACAAAAGGGTATTAGAAATTGCTTTTTCATACAGTGGTGGACTACTGCAGTGGAATGGAAGAGGTAGTAAATGTGTAACCACTGGAATATTAGAGACCAAAGAAGTATTATATACAGCGAGTCACTGAATACTGGTCATTACAAGCATAGCTCATAGGTCATTACAAGCATGAACTTATAATAAGGGTGCAGTAATTAAAAATGGGTAATTATTGTAAATGCACATACACATGCCTGAAGGTAATAACACAGATCTAATATAAAATAAATTGTAATTTATACATTAGAAAAATAATTAAGATTTTTATTTATTTTTAAATAATGAATTATATAAAGTATTTAATCACTGTTGACATAATGATACTAGTAACATCATGAGTCTAGGTAAGTGTTAGATATACTATACAGTAGTATCATGCATTTTGATTAGTAGTGAACATACCATATAAAATATGGTAGGCATATACAGTACAGCTTGACTTTACTGTAGTTTGCCTGAAGTAGTGTAACATTTTGAGCTTGTTACCTGCATGTTGGAGTCTTTTTGCATCATTGTATTGAGCTTGACTGCACAAATTAGTTTAGTACCACGTATTCTTCCAAAATTAAAAGTACTCATCCATTGGGAAATTTACAACACACTTGTATTGTACTTTGTTGGAGCTTAGATTTACTTATATGATATGATTTGCTCTGTACTTATGTGTTGATCAATTTTAACGAAATGGGGCAAAGAAATGCACTGATATGTTTATTTGGTTTAAGTAGCTCTGCTTCCTTATGTGAAAGTTGAGTTACTGCTAGATGCTGCTTTTGTTTTAATACAGTTGTGCTAACCACATTTGCTTATCAACATTAAACATTAGTTAATTTGACAAAACAGGAAACAGTTGAAGTCATTCAGAATTGCACTATTGAAATATAGGCCATTTTCTGGAATTTTTTTTACAGATTTTATCAGTGTGTTGTAGGCATTTAAAAGATTGAAAACTCTTGGGTTAATACTTAACTTTTGTCCTGTTATTTAGTAAAAAAACTGAAAAAGTCAATTCAGACTATAGATATTAGTTTAAGTTATAATTAAATACTAGCTTTGGGTTATTGTTCTCTTTTACCTTATTTGTGCGTGCATATTGTTGTTGTTATAATTTTTACAGGGAGGATTGGCTTGAACCAAAACATCAATGTATTTTTTATGTTACCTTTCCTTAGTGAGATTTTAACTTGTTATTGCACCTTGCAGCTATTTGGTAGTATGGAAGGTGGACTAGATGGAGTGACACGGTCTGGTAGTGTGATGGATCTCAATGTTCAACTGTCATCTGTATCCACACAAAACAACCACCACTCAGAGAAGAACAAACACCGTTATTCTCTGCCAGGTCCAAGTGAAAGACCATTTGGCTTGTGTAAGTAATTAATTGTGTGTAGCTGGCTGTCTCAGCCTGAGATTATTTAGTCTATATTGTTGTCTGGGATGATGTATAAAGTGTTGCTAATTAACATACAGTAGTGGGATAGTGTGCACTAGGATACTATTTGCCTGTCATCGCCTTTGCTTTCGGTTTCTTTGGTTTCTAGTAACATATTAATTATTTTCTTCTCAGTCAGAGAGTATGATTAATATTTATAATGCAGAAAATTGTTACATCTTCAAATGCCCTCCTGATTTTGAGAGGAAATCAAGCAGCTAAAGGTAATATACTGAACATATATATTTATTTTTCTACATAGGGTGCTTTCATGGGCTCAAACATGGTATGGCCTTACAAGTTTTGACCTCACGAGCTCTTTCCTTCGCACATACCAGCTTGTTACACAGATGTTACACAACTCCAGTTGCTGAATTCTGCAAACCCTGTGTTTAGGGGCACTCATGGAAAGTTGAACTCTGTCATAAACTTTTAATTTATGCCTGTTCCAATGCTTAATTTGTTGTACTTAATAATGATAACTCAAGAATTCCAATAATATATAATAAAGCCTCATCAAATCAAGTGTGAAATAATTCAGTATAATATGTTTTATGATAAGATGATAAAGACAATTCCAACATTAATGAATGACTGTGCAACAAAAAACCTTAAGTCACGTGATCAAAACTCATGTTTTCAATATTATATACGTAACTTAAGTTTTTCATATTCAATAGAAGCATACCCATTTCCATTGTTGGTGCACATTTCCTTTAAGGAGTGCTATGGCAGGCAGACAGGCAGCTCAGTTGTTTTAATGGTGCAGGGAAGGGTGTGAGGGATGGTGAACACATGTAAACAAACAACCTTCAGCGTGGGTCATTGTTTATTATTCTTAAGGTTTTTCTTCTTTTCATTGCTCCTACTTGTCTTTGGATATTTATCATGGTTTCTAAATGAAGTGCAGGTGACATTGGTGAAGCAAGGAAGAAAATTTAGCATGAAATTATGCCTGTTTAAAAAAGATTAGAGATAATTGAGATGCTGAATGGTGGTTCACATGTTACAGAGACGGCACTAGTGTTTAGTGTCAGAGAATTAACAATTCATTCAATTCAATACAAAGAGACAAAGATACAGGCTCATGCAGCAGGTAATCTTTAATGTGATAGTTAAAAAAAAATGAGGAATGGGCCATTACAGCTAAATAAAACAGAAGTTTTACTGAATATGTAGATTAAAAAACAAAGGTGCTCCATTGATGGCCTTATTATTAGAACAGCCCAGAAAATAAGTGCACATTTAGTGCTAGATGGTTTAACTAGTTTAGAATGTATAGTGGGTTGTATTAAGAGCTGCAGGGTAAAACAAACCAGTAGCACAGGACAGAATACCTAAATTCTCCACTGCAATAATCATCTCATAAAGCCACATCGACATTCCATGATTCCCACTCTTCAACATCATCAGCTCCAGCCATCAACCTTGGCCCAGTAGGGCCACAGCCTCCTTCTCCAGTCCAAGACATAAATCCTTTCACCTTACACTGCATTATATAAAAAAAAATCCTGCAGCACACTGTGCATAATGAAAAAAACTGCGACTGTAACTTTGCAGTATATTTTCATGTGGTTTTTATGGCTGTATTCTCAGTTTCTTGGTCTTATTTGATAAAATGGAAAATATATTACTGAAATAGAGATGATTTTGATTGCTTTTAGGACTGAAAATAGCTTGAAATAGAGCTCAAAGTAGCAGAAATGTTCAATTTTTGCCAATATTCAAGAGTAAACAGATCACTTCACTTGTCCAATACATGTCCAGTTGGTGGTGTTTAATATGCATTCACAAATGCGCTGATATTATTTATATAATTATTACAATATTGCATAACAGTAAATCTTCTATTTTTGTGTGAATAAAAATTCATGTGTAAAAGCCTGGAAACATAACTAATAAACAGATGAAATGTTATTTTAGTGCCAGGAATTCCTGCGTTGTTTATTTTGCTTTGATATTGGAATATCTTGAAATTTGTGTGAAATTTGCCAAATTACCAATTTCTGATCACTTTATTGGGTAGTTGAAATAGTTAATTGGGCAATTTTTTGTGCTCAGTCAATACAGTGTAAGACATACTAGTGAAATAGCTAGAACTTTGGTTGACTGGAACAGTGTAATTGGCATAAAACAGGATTTAAAGTGGGCAGAATCGCCGATGCGTAAATATTGCTGACACAGCAAAATTCGCAAAAGCATAATTTTGTAAATTTTCGATCAAATTTCTTACTTTTTGTTTTATTACCTTCAGAGAAAAATTCTCTTATCATTTCATAAGAATTTTTTTTTTTTTTTTTTTAAATTCTTGGACACTGTAGACAAGTTTCACATCTGTGATCTGGACAATGAAAGGGTTAAACGTCAATAACCTGACTTGAAGGTAAATAATGAATAATCTACAGTATTAAAGTAACCATTTTTAGCTATATGTGCTGTTACTTTTCATAGCCTAAACCTCACTCGAGTTCAGGAAATATTTTTTGAAACATTGTTATATTCAAAATTTTGTTATAGCTCTTTTCAAGGTTGGAGGAACATAATCCTATTTTTCCATTATATTTTTCAACTTAACCTGTAAATGGTCCAAACGTATATATATGTTCACTACCCCAGTGCCCCGAATATTTTGAAAAATAAAAAAATAATTTTTTTTTATGGAAATAAAGAGCACATTTTTTTAAGTATTATAGGATAAAAAAACATTAGAGTCAGTACTTACAGAGATATGTACTCCAGACCGTCGCTAACGCGATGGTCTGGAGTTTTGAGACTCTCTGACCGCGGGTTCAAATCCCTTGTTTCTGTGTCCCCTCTCTGGAACATCCTGTCTCTGTCCACGTTGTCTATTCCCCGCAGTATCTTGTATGTCGTTATCGTGTCTCTCATGACCCTTCTGTCCTCCAGTGTCGTCAGTCCGATTGGTATGGTTTGTTTGCATTCGTGTCATTACGATTTCGTGAGTCATGTTGACGGCAGTGAGGGGACTTGAGCTAGAGTTCGTCACGACCACGCTAGCTGGAGATTTGTCTGTAAAAACTTGCATTTGTGGTCACAGTGGTGCCTATGCTAACCTTTCTATGGTGTAGAAATATACCTAGTTGGACGAATCTTATTGTGGCTAGCTGGTCCAGTGGCTAACGCGACGGTCTGGAGTTTTGAGACTCTCTGACCGCGGGTTCAAATCCCGCCCGTGGTATGGTTTGTTTGCATTCGTGTCATTACGATTTCGTGAGTCATGTTGACGGCAGTGAGGGGACTTGAGCTAGAGTTCTTCACGACCATGCTAGCTGGAGATTTGTCTGTAAAAACTTGCATTTGTGGTCACAGTGGTGCCTATGCTAACCTTTCGATGGTGTAGAAATATACCTAGTTGGACGAATCTTATTGTGGCTAGCTGGTCCAGTGGCTAACGCGACGGTCTGGAGTTTTGAGACTCTCTGACCGCAGGTTCAAATCCCGCCCGTGGTATGGTTTGTTTGCAATCGTGTCATTACGATTTCGTGAGTCACTAATGTCATTTATGATTTGCAGTGAATATTTTTTACTTTCTCAGTACAGTGGAGCCTCTGCTTACGAATTTAATCCATTCCATGACCTTGTTCGTATCCCAATTTGTTCGTATGCTGAGTCAATTTTCCTCATTTAAATTAATTGAAATGGCATTAATCCGTTCCAGCGGAATTCCTACTCTTAGGAGGCACAACAAAATACTTCAATATGATGCTAATATCAATTCTACGGCTTACTTATGTATCACAATTCATCTAATTTCACCATCACTCAAGGAATGCACAACAGGTGCATCATTGTCAGTGTTCAGCATTTCTTCAATGTCAAGATGAGTAAATAGAATTGTCAATGCTTATTGCTTGGGTACGTTTATTCTGTTAGTGGGCTGGATCTGTGAAGGACCTGCCTAGTATGGGCAAACAGGCCTACTGCAGTGTTCCTCCTTTCTGTCCAAGGTGTTTTCTCTTCTGTACCAAGATGCCATTGTGTTGCAGTGTATGACCGAGTGAATATCAAAATGGTATACAATACCGACAGGTTGGTAGGTAAGACACATAGGCAACATTTAGGCAACTTTATTCCGAAACGTTTCGCCTACACAGTAGGCTTCTTCAGTCTAGTACAGAAAGTAGGCAGGAGCAGTAGAGATGTGAAGACGATGTAATCAGTCCATCATCCTTGAAGTCGTAGATTTGAGGTTGTCAGTCCCTCAGCCTGGAGAATTTCTGTTCCAAAGTTGGAATAAAGTTGCCTAAATGCTTCCTATGTGTCTTACCTACCAACCTGTTGGTATTGTATACCATTTTGATATTCACTCTGTCAGACACTTCAACACAATGGCATCTTGGTACAGAAGAGAAAACACCTTGGACAAGCTTTTAAAGTGAGAACTGTTTGATCTGAGAGGGACATGACCTCTCAATGGCTACATTCTCACTACTACTACTCTGCACCTCTCCTTCCGATAGTATTTAAGTCTCAACACTGTCGCTTGATCTTCAGTTAGTTCCAGACTTTGGAACAGAAATTCTCCAGGCTGAGGGACTGACAACCTCAAATCTACGACTTCAGGGATGATGGACTGATTACATCGTCTTCACATCTCTACTGCTCCTGCCTACTTTCTGTACTCGACTGAAGAAGCCTACTGTGTAGGCAAAACATTTCGGAATAAAGTTGCCTAAATGTTGCCTATGTGTCTTACCTATCCTCCATTCTTATGTTCTTTATGTTCTTATTGCTTGGGTAGCATTTAATCTGTTAGTGAGCTGGATTTGCGAAGGATCTGCCAAGTATGGGCCAACAGGCCTGTTGCAGTGTTCCTCCTTGATGCTCTTATGTTGATGAGTGGAACAATCTGCCTAGTATGGTTATTGAGCCTAAAACCTTGGGTAGTTTCAAATTTGTGTTGGATAAATACATAA